ATATATATACACACCTTTTCAGCAAGGTTGTAATCACTATTATTATATAGATATGCATTTTTGTTGCTGTGTTTTTGTTATCTCTGTTTCTGTAGGTGTGCAGCCAAGATGTCGGGTGTGTTGTCTTTGTTTTCCCAATATATATTTCACATATCTTCTAATCTCTCCTTCACTCTTTCCCATTACAATTTACTTTTTTCTTATCTTTCTTTTTCTTCTTAAAAAAAGTTGATCAGAGTGAGGTTACAATTTATGCCAAATCCAGGAGTGTGTCTGTGCTTTGATATCTTGGGGAATTTAATTCTCATTCAAGTATTTGGACATGCACAAAAAAAAAAAAAAAAAAAAACAATTACTGTAAAGTTATCTCAAACTGAGAGAAGAGCTATAGGTGAACAACTCATAAAGTTGTAGAAAACACTGCTCATTCTTTCTGACTAAATCTAGATAATGCACAATCCACTTTAAGCCCAGGTCACAGGGTTCATGAACACAGGCTGGATAAGTAATGTTGACACTGTCAGGTCTTAAACACGGGGTCATAACAAATTACGACATCTGCCTGAGTTGGGCCCCAGAAAGAACTGGCCTCAGTGAGCCACAGTTAAACAGACCAAACTGTTGCTTTATACTTTGACAAGTAATAATTATGTTATTTGTATAAAATCACAAACTTTGGCTAGTTTAAATATTAATAATTCATGTTTTTTTGTACTACATTAGTCAGTTTGCATGAAACCGTTGGTGTATTTTCATCTGTGCACCGCATCAAAGCAGCCTTCAGAATGATGCCTTGGTAATATGAAGGAATTTTATTGCATGTAGRGCAATAATAATATTCTGCTTTATCCACAATTTTTTTAAAGCCCCAAAACATTGCTTCTATATTCCAGGTAGGGTTGGGCAATATTGACCAAAAAATTAATCACAATTACCGTAACTGTGGCATTTAGCCAATGAAACTTAACATGGTGATTAATAGATGACATATTTTGCACTTGCATGTCTTTGACTCTAAATCCGTTACCCTATGTTCTATAAATATCCTTACAAATCATCAGTTTTATCAGGCTAAATTAGTAAGCTGTTTATTGAAACCCACCTTTTCCCACAAAGTTGAGTGGCAACATATTTTAGTAATGTAGTATGTATGCCACAGCTCACATGCATGTTTGATAGTGAGAGTGCATCGCACACAAAAATAGGCTTTGCCATTGTGTGGCACTAATTGTAGTAATTGCAAAGTGGCAAATGTTAATTGTTGACAGTTTTCTGACCATTAATTTCTCAAAATACAATTTTRCCCAACCATAATTCCTACTACAGTTTTCACAAAGACACTTTCCTCACCAATTATTACCCAGAAGTATAGAACTGTATTTACCAAAATCCTAAAGGTGACTGTGGGTGTGAATAAAGATATTTTTGTAATTCATAGGCTAGCGTTGGTTAAGTTTTGGTGGTCTGTTGTGACAGTAGGTCAATATAACTAAAACAGAGAGTTTACTAGAGAGTAAAAATTATTTAGAGTGTTAGCTCATTCTCTTCTTCTCAATCAGGAACCATCAAACAGAACTATTATGTAGCAACAAACAGGTATACATCAGCAGCCAGGACTCATGATGGACTGCAGAACCCCTGTGGATGTGGCTGAGCCCAAAACAGGAAACACTTTTCCACCGCAGTCAGTAAATCTGACTCTCTGTGGTTGTGGATATGCACAGATAAATATTAGAGGAAGCCCAAGTCTGTGAAAGTTTAGACCACATGGCTTGGTACTTGCACTTGCTGTCTAGACCTGGGCATAATGGCACATTTGTTAGAGCTTAAATGCAGACTCACTAAAGCCAGACTTTRCAATGGCTCTGTTATTATTGTAACAAACCTAATGGCAAAAAACTCCATGTAAACAATAATAAAGTAAAAGTGAAGTCTAGCCCATTGTGCCTTGTGAACAACTAGTCAGAGCTTTCTTAAACTTTATCACATCCAAATGTTGTTATTGTTTGGTAATTTGAAAACAGACTTTACTAAAAGTAAAGTTCAGACTTGACGGGCTGCTTAACGGTTTGGTTTTGTGATCCTTTGTAGCCAGTTGGTTGTTTTCAATTCTGTGAAATTTCTAAGCAAAACAGGACACCAAGTTTAGACATATTTAGCCATAGCCGTAGGTAATTTATGCTGTAATTTAGAATGTAGTGCAGGTTTGACTATAAAGGGAATGTTCTTTTTTCCTTCTGCGTTAAGGAATGCTGTTTGGCAACTGAACACCCTATGAAGTCTTCAAAATGAACCAAATACATTTCTGAGTGTGGGGAGTTGTGGTATGTGAAGCTTTTTCCTCTTTTTTTCCTTACTTTGCTCACATATCCTCTACCCCCCATCCCTCCTATTTTTTAATATTTAAAAACAGTGTGGTTCTCTGACTACGCAGAGTGACACTGCTAMTAAAGCTGCATGGAAAAATCACCTTTAATAAAAAAAGTTGTAAGTAAGTCTGAAGCACAGACAGAGGACCAGAGATAAAACAGAAG